CCTATGGCATCAAAACAAAGGAGAAGGATGCGAATACATATACCATCAGGCCCGCACGCACCAGAACGCTTCATGGAGAACACTACCTCCCGCAGCTCGGCCAGCGTGACAGCAGCGACACGAAAGCCGCAGGCACCAACTCGCGGTAGGCGACAAGGTACATCGGGAGGCACCCCGCGGCAGTGGCGCAGCCAGGATTTCGTTTCGGGGGGGTCATCGCCTCCAAAGCGGGCCCCCTAGTGTGCGGGCCCCCCACTCATTTTTCAGAATCTCTCCATATTTCATACACATTCTGTTCAGCGGGCCCCCTTTACCTGCACGATAACCCTGAGCGAGTATTGAATCAGAAAATTTGGATAGAACAATAGCTCGGTAATCGTTAATCACCCGGTGTTCAATTTTTACGCAAATTGACCACAACAGAAATATGTTACTATGACGTATGAATTCGTATCTTTCGAGGCCGAAAAGTGCTCCTTCCGCAATATGCATACATATATGCATCGGAACTCATGTTGCCTGGGTCTGTCGGACAAGATTTAAGTAGGCTGATGTGCCTGTCCTAAGCCATCTATTGGCTGCTGTAGTATGTAGATTATGCCACTATTCTTCTTCATTACGTGAATTCGCTCGCAAAAAGTTTTAACCCTCGCCGGCACAGAGGGGAGGGGTTGATGCACCCCCTAAGGTTTTTTTCGCGAATAACTCGCGTAAAAGCGGCTGATCGCGACGTAACTTTCAGCACCCTCGCGTTGATCAATTTTACACCTACCTACCCTAGATATTTCATGACCCTGACCCAAAAGACCTTTGACCTACTTTCCGAGACCATGTTTGGCCAGAATCGCGGTTCGGCGTATGCCGGCTCGCATTAGCCGCGCGTTTGCAGTCCTTTCGTGGTTTCAAGCGTTCAAACATGTGATTTGATGTTGCTCCCATGCATAAGGGTGATGTCAATGTCACCTGAAGGTCAGGTCAGGTCAGGTCATTGACTTATGATGACCTCGGTACACTTTTTCAAGTAATGCATGTTTCTAGGCTAGTTTTTTTTTTAAAGCTGAATTCGATTTTAGCAACCATTTGAACAGTTAAGAAGTAGTTTTGGTGCCTTCGTAACATGTTACGAAGCTGTCAGAGACGGTTGACACGTAGGTACTACGAATACCCGGCAGGACCCCTACTGGTTGACATGACCTGACCTGACCTGACCTGACCTGGCCTAAATGCATAAAGACATCATCTGTGATCAAAACTAACATAATATTCGTGATCAGCACCCCGACAAAAACCCTATAGCAGCCACATTTTACGACGTTCTAACAGGTCCCGATTTTCCCGACATTTGGGTCATTGACCTGACCTGGAAGGTCAACCAAAGACCTAGCACCTTGGAATTGGGTATTATCGGCTTCCTCTCGTCACGGGCAACACGCTCGTTTTTTTTTCCGCGAAGCTCTAGCTCGATCATGGGCCAAACGCGAGGAAGGGAGTCGTACCCTCCCTCCCTTGTGCCGTCGAAGGACGCAAAATGGCCTGAGCCGGCGAGGGTGAACGCGCTCACATGGTTCATGTATTGCCTTGGGCCAGGTTTGTTGTGGTGTGGTGATGTGGTGACGTAGATTCTGTCTGTTACCGTGGTCCCGGCATGGTGTTACTTATCCCGGGGTAGTACAGGCTGCAGACCGTTGCACCTACATAGTGCGCTGAATTTTGCGCAACTTATAGAACAAGGATGGGGAACGTGCCTGTGAGGGGTCTCAGCTCGATCGGGCCGGTGGTGAGCACATGGCGCATGCTCAAAAAGTGCAAATTCGCGTCATAGACTTTACATGTATAAATCGGCTTGCAAAATTGGGCGAAAATGGCTAAATTTGCCCGACACGGGTCCGGTCCCCGTGCAGTAGGTATCTCGGTAACCGTAGGTCCGATCGGCATGGGGAACACAGTATCGTAAATGAGGATCGAACGGGCTATCGAATGGTTAGCGGTGCAGGGATGTCACGCGTCACGTGCACCCGTGAGGGCACTTATGCTTGAAAAATTGACGTTTCGGACGGATTTTGGACTTAATGCTATTTTTGGGTGACTGTCAGACGGAGCGGGTTCAAACAACGCCTGTTGGCAAGAGAAATGTACCGCCTCTCAAGGAAAATTTGTGAAAAGATAATTGATCAAAAACAATGTGGAACAAATCGCTGGAGAAAATGGTATTTGTTCATGACTTACTTAATTACACGGGTTTTGCTGCATAACCTGATACGTTTGACCATTAAAAATGGCATCGTTGGAAAGAGCATTCAATTTGGTCCAAGATCCAATCATGGCTTTTGCAAGACAAGCAACAGTATTCTTAAAAATATAAATTTTTAAACCTCTACATGGCAATTCATCTATGGCTCTCATTTTTCAATGACCTACGTCAACCTATGCTATAAAATACACTTGGCAAGTTCTATAGTAGACGTATGGCTATCAGACACGAGCACCTCGATGCAATGGATGTTTTTTCCCAAATCAAAATGCTTAGCCGTCAAAAGACAACCGACCGAAATGGATACATGACCCACGGACACAAGACCAACCAAACGCCCATCGATCGAAAATACCCCTTATTCGCGTTGCGGAGCAAGCGGGTCACCCTAGCGGGCCCCATCCACAGGGGGCTGGTCCCCGTCCACACGAGGGCCCGGGCTCCGTCCACCCGGGTCTCCGGGCCCCGTCCACCCGGGGCTCCGGGGCCCGCCCATCAGAGGGCCCGGGCCCCGTCCACCCGAGGACCCGGGCTCCGTCCAACCGGGGCTCCGTGGCCCATCCACCCGGGGGCCCGGGCCCCATTCACCCGAGGGCCCGGGCCACGTCCACCTGGGCTCCGAGTCCGGGCACCGTTCTCCCGGGGGCCCGGGCCCCATCCACCCGGGGGCCCGGGCCCCATCCACCCGGGGCCCGGGCCCTGTCCACCCGGGGCCCGACCCCATCCACCCGGGGCCCGGGCCCCGTTCTCCCGGGGACCCGGCCCCATCCAACCGGGGCCCGGGCCCTATCCCCACGGGGGCCCGGGCCACGTCCACCTGGGCTCCGAGTCCGGGCCCCGTTCTCCCGGGGGCCCGGGCCCTATCCACCCGGGGGTCCGGGCCCTGTCCACTCGGGGCCGGGGGTCCGTACTCCCGGGGACTTGGGCCCCATGCACCCGGGGGCCCCGGGCCCCATCCACCCAGGGGGCCCGGACCCATCCAACGGGGGGCCCGGACCCCATCCACCGGGGCCCGGGCCCTATCCACCCGGGGGCCCGGACCCATCCAAGGGGGCCCGGGTTCCATCCACCCAGGGGGCCCGGGCCCGTTCTCCCGGGGGCCTGGACCCCATCCACCCGGGGCCTGGGCCCCATCCACCCGGGGCCCGGGCCCCGTCCACCTGGGGCCCCAGGCCGACCCCTCACCCGTGGTGTCCCAGTAGGCATTTCTCGAAGCGGGCTCGTCCGATTAGATTAGGACCTCTCTCTCCTCTCTCTCTCTCTCTCTCTCTCTCTCTCTCTCTCTCTCTCTCTCTCTCTCTCTCTCTCTCTCTCTCTCTCTCTCTCTCTCTCTCTCTCGAGCGGGCCCCCGACAGAAATTTCGGGGGGGTCAGCTGACCCTCTGACCCCCCCCTGGCTGCGCCACTGCCCCGCGGCTAGAAAGATCGGCAGCAACACGGGGCCCCACATTCACAAAATGCGAGTTCAGTTCATCTGGTGTAGCAGTCGGCAGAGCGGCAGTGCTGCTCCGTTTACTGGCGATCAGCGGGCGGACGGTACGGTACAGAGCGCTGCTCCCCTGCTCTCGCAGTCTCTCCTCGATGTCCGTTCGGCTGTCACGCCTGATCGCCGACCTGACGCGCCGGTCAAGCTCTCGGAAAGCCGATGACCTCCCCTCACGGCGCAGCACGCCCCTCCGCTGGGCCATCAGGTCAAGGGTCGCCGGGGTGACAGGTGGCGCGCGCGGGTTCATGATCGATACCGTTTTCAACGGGGCAAACCTATCGAGTACCGGTAAAAGACGCTGAGTTACGTAAAACCACTTGTCAGAAACAGATGCACAGCTAAAAACACCCGACCAGTCAACAAGGCGCAAAGCATGATGAAAACTTCGACCATTGATGCGTTTCAGAACACGCGTTTGAATGCGTATTGGCCGTTTACGGGGTTTCGGTAAATGTAAAAGTATCCGGACAAAGTAATGAGGGCTAAAAGTACACTTAAAAGCGTGAACACGTTTTACGACGTCACTAGAGTTACAAATCACCACATCTAAAAGCGAGCCTGAGGAAAAAGTAGGTTGCGTCACAAACTGCGATAAAGAGAACGACTGAAACATTTCTAAAAGACGGTCTTTTCCGGCATTGCTCGTTGTGTCAAGTAAATTACAGTTTAAGTCCCCCATTATAAATACAGGTCCGGAGTGTCGCAGCAAAACCCGCTGGAACTGCATCTCGAGCTCCTGGATATCCGCGTTCACTGCAGACACCGAACGCCTCGGAGGCCGGTACACAACGCCAACACAGAAGTGCCGGCCGGAGTCGGGCTTCACGCGCACCCACAGCGATTCCAGTCGACAGTCGTCACAATCTGAGGCCGGCTGAGAGATGACAGACGCCGTGATATGGTCGCGTATCAGTAAGGCCACCCCGCCATGACCCGCGCCGCCGGTCCGGTCGGCACGGTACAGCGCGTACCCGGGGAAGGTGACCAGCCGGGACGCAGTGGCGGGCCGAAGCCATGTCTCCGTAATGGCGCAAACGTCGTAATCGAGCCTGTTGAGGTGGTCGTGCTGCAGCGATACGGTCTTGGGAAGTAGGGACTGTATGTTGATGAGTCCCATAAGTAGGCTCCGCTGGCGACCACCGGAGCCTGAGCGCCGCCACGTGCCGCCCCCTCTGCACCCCCGGCGCCTGGCGCTGGCGCCGCGCCTGCCGCGCCGGGTCACGTGACCGCCCGGGTGCCGGTCAAGGCCGCGGCCGCCATAGCCAGTCTGCGGCGGCGGGGGCGGTGGCGGGGGCGGACGTTGCGCAGCACAGCGACAGGCCCATCGATCAGCGACGTCGTGACGGTGGAGCAGTGGTGGCGGCGGAGCCGCCCAGCGGCGACCGAGCGAAGCAGACCCGGCAGCCGACACCAGCAGGCAAGTCAACGCCAGGAACACCAAGTGACGGGCGAGGTCACGGTGCATAACGACGACGACTCGGCACAAACGTGACGGGAGCCACTCGTAGTCGCAGTCAGGAAACCACTCATGCAATTAATCACCACTCAATCAATCAATCACTCACTCAAAACACTCGCTCGTGGAGGCAGGACGAGGCCCAGAGCGGCAAGGGAGGGAGGGAGCGGAGCTCCCGGCGCCGCAGCCAACCAGGGGCGCGGCGCGCAGAGAACTGAAAAAAGCCGCCAACAGAAAAAAAGCCGCCTGCCGGTTTTTTTTTTTGCCTAAGGCCGTTTCACATACGAAGCGGAGCGTAAACGCGATGGGCTTGTAAGCGGATAGGGCTTTATCCTTTACGCTCCGTGCGTGAAATAAAAATTACGGCAGGCGGCTATTTTTTTGTTGGTAAAACTGGCCTCTGGTCCGCATTGGTGATCCCGATTCCGAATTTTAGCCTAAGCTAAAATCCTGTCTGTGGGATGTCAACAGCTTTGACCGTAGGTCAATGTTTTGACCTCTAAACCGTTTAAACACACGCCTTGAAAAATAACTTGTGGGACACTTACTTCTATGAATCCATTTCACAAGAATTGCCCTAGCCCTATACCTACTACAGAATACAGACTATGGTTCGTTTTTTCAGTTGGACCCAGCTGCTCTTTGGGGGAGGGGGATATTTTGGTGGAACGGATAATTAACCCGCGCCCCAGTGGCGGTCTCAGCCAACTTCGCCCTAGTGGGGGGGAGGGGGGGGAGGGGGCATATATGGTACCACCCACCTCTAACTCAAAAACTAAGAGAGCTAGAAATACGCGATAAAAAGCAGTCGATAGCTCTCAATGCGTACGTTTGAAAGTATTTCAGTCATTTTTCATCTTACAGCAATATTGGGGTCACCAGAGGTCATCAAAGGTCAAAATTTGCGAATTGTCATTATATTTGTCAGAAAACATGTCATTTTCTCAGGAACTACGATAGCTAGAAAAACGCATGGAAAAGCAATCGATAGTTTTTGAACTCTTCTTATGATAAGGTCATCATCAAAAATGACCTCAGGTCAACGGTTTAGCCTCCAGAGGGCAGACTCCAAAAATAGCTGTTTTACGAAGTGTATTTCGACAATAACTTTTAACTAAAAAAAAAAATCACGACATTTCTTATGCCAGAATCGTGTTCCTCTCGCCGTGACGCGTCGAATGAACTATAATTTGACCTTAACCCGCGACCGCCTGGGGGGGGGGGTCGGATCCGACCCCCCCCTCCGTTTTTCTTGAATAACTCATGAACCACTTTCGCTATCTACTTGAAACTTGGCATACCTTCTCCTCCATCAATTTGACGTCTCCTGTGCAATTTTTAAGAAAAAATTTCCAATTTTTTTTAGATATATCGATTTTAGTGATGTAACTACATGGCGTTTTTAGTCAAAAAGTGGTAAATGTTTAAAAAATCGCCAATAATCAGGGTTAAAAACAAGTTGCAAATTAAGGACATGAAAAGACGCAGCTCGACGAGTTCTTCAAAATGGCTATCTCGGATTTACCATAAAATGCATTTTTCACCCCTAAAAATTTAAAAAACTATATTTTTTGGAAAACAGCTTATAAAATCCAAAATTTTCGGAATTTCCAAAAAACCGGAATATATGTTGTAGAGCTCTATTAGAACATTAGATGTCCCAAATTTCAACTTTCTATCTTGATTTTTGACCCCCAAATTGTAAAAAATAGCTCCAACATGCATAGGGCATGGTGACGTCATAAGCATTTTCGTGAATTAGATGCACTTCTGAACATCGCATGTGAAAATAAATGGCACCACTAGATTCCTGGGACAAAGCCGGTCTAGAAAAGTGCATATTTATGTCAAAAATAAAAAGTTGAAAAATTGTCTTTTTTTCTTAGCCCTCGTTTAGTTATGTATGGTTTAAACGATTTTTTATGCTTTCAATGCACACTTATCACCAACACAGTGACTTGGGGTTACATATAACCATTACCATCGGATTCGGCGTGAAAAATAAGCCATAAAACATGTGTCGCACGCCCATGTAGCAGAAAGTAAAAACCGTGACCTTTCGTGACCTGACCTGACCTTGACCCGTACTTAGTATGACCCCTATACGCACATGGTACCTTCACTAGGCCTTTGAGGTCATTTTTGGTGAGTTTCGAGCAGCAGCTATCGATTCCGCTGTCCGTAAGCCTAATCATGCAAACCCCAGAATTTGACCTTTGACCTGACCTTGACCCGAAAGTTGACCTCAATCTTAAAATCTTAAAGGGACTATCCCACCTTTAACATGGGGTTTGAGTTGAGATAGCCAAGTTTGCGGCGAGGTTCAGAAACCACTATCTATCTAGGTTGCAACCCCCGCGGCCTCTTGGTGTTGAAGAAATTCGTTCCCTTCATTTGAAAATGGGCCTTGTGCAAGGCCCTATCTTCAACATAGAGCGACCGTTAGTGTGACGTCACCTCGTTTAGTCATTCTGATTTAAATGGGTTTGTTCGTTGAAAAATCGCTTAAAACTTGGTCTGAACTTTGTTGTGGTGCCTACAGAGTAAAAAGAATCAGCTTTATGACAGTAATGTGGCCTGGGGAAGGAGGTAATTTTGGGCTGTGACGTCACATATTTGAAAGTTTGTGTTTGGAATATGGGAAGCCTAAGATGTTTAATGAAAAATAAATGCCAGAACCGTGTTCCTGGTCATCCAATCTATAAAGTCGGGCATAATTTAACTGGTTTTACCAACATTTTAGAAGGTGGGATAGTCCCTTTAAGAGTGCTTTGGGAAGGTCTCGTAGAGACCTTTCGAACGCCGCCTCGCGGGGCTCGATACGACCATTGGTTCTCGAGATAACAGGGGGGGGGGGTCGGATCCGACCCCCCCCCCAGGCTGTCGTGGGTACGGAAATAGCCCAGGCGGTGCCGGGTTAAAAGGTCAACTTGAAAATTTGACCTCAGGTCAAGATCCTGACCTGACCGGAAAAGGTCATGCTGCATATCAGTCGATGCGTCTCGGCAAGACAAACACAATGAGGCCATCCCCAGCGTTCTATCTCTTTCCAATTGAGAGTTATTGGTAAAAATCTGTGTGTAGCCTCAAATGACCTCGGTCCTCGGGTGACCTTTCTAGAGGCCATCAGCAAAAAAGACATCTTGGTCGTCACGGGTGGTCTAAATCATTGTGATTCTGAAATATTTGGACTGTTCCTATGCGTACATATGGATCTAGATGCATTTTCGTTTTTCTCCATTGACTTAAAATGGAAAGGTCCCGCCACTGGCCTGACCTTAGGTCACGGATATAAAAAAATCCGAGATATACAAGTTATAGGCCCCCATAACATCACGCAATCCACCAAGTTTAAAACCTCTCTGACAAACACTACAGGCTGGACATGATTGCAAACTTTTTTAGGCTTGGTCAGTTAACTTGACCTGGTGACCTGATCTGACATGACCTGGTGTCAAAAATTTCACACATTGTCCAAAATTGATGTGCAGAAAGCTACGCGCCGCGGTTTTTTATTCACACGCAAAACACGCGACAGGGTGGTAACATGTGCCCCCCCCCCCCCCCTGGGGCGAAGGTTAATTGATCGGTAATCGAACGACTGTCAGCGAAAGTTATTGAGGGCGTGGGAAGTCGTAGAAAATATATTGGGGCACCATCGAAGTTGAGACCCAAAGACCGGGAATTTAGGTACGTAGTTTAAATGAATCTGACATGTAGGGTCACACTCATGAGATTCCTGAACTGAATACGCCATAATCTCGAAGCTCCAGTTCAGTAAGGCACGAAACAGCTCGGAACGACCGGAATGACGAACTGGGGGGGGGGGGGGAGGCTCGGACTAATTCAACTTATTCAGCTGTTGAGGGACAGGGTTGTCCCGGTTGTCCTCAAGACCCCAAGGTTATGCCATGTTATGCCCCGCATCCCTGGGCTGTTGTCAATGACTAGTTTCCATGGCGTCCGATAGATGTCTCTACCTGTGCCGGCTGGGCGAGCTCCCCAGCCAGGTGGCGGTAGGAACCGGGCCTGCCGCGTCCGTCCGCCCTCCCCAGTCCCAGCCCCAGCCGCCAGTTGGCTGTCGGCCTCGGTTCACGTGGTGGGTGTAGTTGCTGTTCTGTGGAGAAAACTGAGCGAGTGAGGCACTTTGTGCGTGTGATCGGACGGCCTGTGATCCCCATCCCATCTCGCCCCACCCGGCCCCACCCCACATCTGGTAAGGTCGACCCGCGTGGTGCCATCCTCCGTCTTCGTTTGAATCGGCCGCCACAGCCGCTGTCAGCTCGAAGAGTTGAGAGTCGAGGACAGAGCGAAAGGTGTGACGAGAGCAGAGGTGCATCTTACGCGACTAGAACAGGGGTATCATACGCTCAGTCATAGTATGTAGGTTTTTGGTGGCTTCACGAAGTAGTACATGTCTTACCGCAAGGCATTACCACAGCATCTCGCGGTAATGGTCAGTGGGGGATCTACTTTGGTGCGCTTGTGTCCTTCGACGGCTTGCTACGTTTCCATTTATCTATGCGTCCCTGAAGTTATACTTGAACTGGGATGCCCTGATCCGTCTCCGTCGTATTGACATTTACGGGTAATAAAGCCGATACCTTATAAAAAGCATTTCTAATGGTGCTATTTTTATTGCATTGCTCTTTCAGGCGTAGTTTCGTGAAGATTTTTCAGGATCTTAATCATTCTCACCATCCCTGCACTGCCACTGTCATTCTCAATCTAAGGCAATCTAAGCCCAAATTCATCGGGACTCGGTCTCGTTGCCTTCTCAGGGTGTCACTTGTGGCGCTAGTGAATGTTTGTATCACTGATTAGAGAATTTCTGTGATTCTTGACGCTCGGTATGGGCTGTGAAGCCCAGGTTCCGAGTTCGAACGGGCCCTGGGGCACCTCTTGTCCGTGGGGCGGCAGCTGCCACGCGCGGTCCAACGGTCCACCGGTCGGCGCCGGAC